CTCTTATGGTTTGCCTCCCTCCCTCCCTGACCTAGTTTCAATCTTGAGGAAGTTTTCTTCTATAAATTCACTGATGCTTGTTCATTTTGGTTTATTTCAGGGAAAGGGTGGTGTTGACAAATGAATTAATGCCACCATCTTCCCATGGATATCCAGACAACTTCTTAAATCTGGAAGAGGGAAGAAGTTTCTAGGAGAAGCACTGTGAGTACCCAAAGCCCTTGACCTTGGTGACAATAGAGTCAATATGAGGCACTTGCTCATATCATTTGGAGCCTGACTGACAGAGCAATTTGTAATTCTAGACTCCAAAAGACTGAAGAACTATCATCACTCATCTTTCCCTGGTCTCTTATTCACCCCTCACCCACCCCCCCTCACCCAAAATGAGGACCTATCATCGATTATCCATACACAGTGTTATATAATTAAATGTATATGACTGTTCTCTACTCGTCTGTGCAGGGAAAAAAATTTTTTTTCAGTTTTGTGTTCCTGATTTCTAGCAGACTACACTGAAAATAGTATAAAATACAATAAATGTTTGAATCATCATATAACTTGAGTCTAATTTACAAGCTAGTATCTTGGATTAAGAACCAGAATGACCAGATGGTTCTTTGCACACATCAAGAATTTCAGCAATTGTGGATCAGGTGTTGCCAAATTTGGGAGTATTCCAGCCTCTGCTTACCCTAGCCTACTCTGGATCTCTAAAGAGTGCTCATCACAAAGAAGTAAGCTAAAGATAGAAAAAAGGACTGGAGGAGACAAATGGAATGATGGTGAAGTCTGCAGGCAGAATTTAATTCTTTCTCTACATTTTTGGGAAGAAAAGTGAGGCTTGCTTCCAGGGATTGGCAATCTTCCAGAAGTGGTTTGTTTCCTACCTCTCTCCTTCAAGGGTTTTCCTTTGCACTGTAGATATTCCTAGAATGGATGGCACCTTTAGCCTATAGGTTATGCCTAATCAATTGTAGCCATCTCTGAGCCAGAATGGATCATGGGAAAGTGGCCTGGGAAAGGGAAAAGGGCTGGGAGAGATGAAAAAAATTCTTATGTTGGAGGTGGAAAATCAAAGAAAATGTTGCCCAGAGTCACTTTTAGCTCTTTAAAATCACCCCACCCCTTCACCCAGCATCTCTGCCACATGTATCAACCCATGGATTGGAGGATGGAAGGTCATTCTTTTGCTTTCTAGAAGGAAAGTGGTAATATTGAAGGTCTCTGAAGTTTGTCCAGGGATTGCCCAGTTTGTAGAAGCTTCAGGATATCGGAGAGGTGATGCATGCAGTGACCACATTAGGTAATTGTGTTGGAGAACAAGTGTGTGCTTTGTTGGAGGGATTCCTTCAATGTTCAGGATGCTCAGTCTTTGCCAGCCTGAGTGTCCTTGGAAGCTCCAGTCTGGCTGTGTAGAGATGATGAAGGTTTCTCAGTTAGAGGTGATAAGCCCCTCGGGTCTCAGCTGGAAAAGTGCACCATGCTGGAAAGAAGTTAATACGTTTTCCTGTTCCCATAAAAATCTGGAACTGGAATCTGAACTATGAAGTCTGGATTCTCTAAGAGTTTAAATCTCTTGAGTTTAGCATCCTGCTTCCTAAAGGCGAAAGGAAGATTCAAAATACCATGGAGTTAGACAAGAACTTATATAATCTATTCCTACTCTCTCATTTTGTAGATGTGGCACTGAGTCACAAAGGTAAAGTGACTTGCCTCAGGTCACACACGGACTATGGGAGAGCATGGACCAGCTATTTTCCTAAGTCCAGTGGCCATTTTATGACACTACTGAATTCTATAACAACTGGCCCTTTGCCTCTCACTGCCCTAAACTTCGTTCCTGAGTTCCTAATAACATATCTGAAACTAAGAGAAAGTCTGGCATTGGGTTTTTGCACCAGCTTTGAGAGAACTAAAGAGAAGTAGTTAGCATTTAGCTGTCCTTCACTTTGTCATGAAGTTAAGAGTACTCATCAACCACCTCCACTATCTGCACACCTCAAACCATTAAGTACAGAGCAGCCAAGAAGAAGAAAGGGGGAAAGGAAAGCAATCCTGCAGGAAAATGGGAGTTAATGGCTGAAAAACAGAGGTTCTTTTCAAGACACTTCTCTTTTTCTGGAATTTCCACACATTATTGAATACTGAGATCATCAGTCACGGCCCATTGAGCCATTATTCACCCTAGTCTTGAGTTGTTTTTATCACCAAGGCTCTAGAAGTCGAGAAGGTGTGAACTTCAATATTAACCATACTCCAGAAAATGAGACCAGCTGGGTTCTACAGATTCTACTGTGTCTGGACTGCCTGTAGCAGGGGAAGGATTTCTCTGCTGAATTAATATTCACCTCAGAGCCTTGGGATTTCTCCAGTGAAAAACAATTCCTGGAAGTTTAGGGAAGAATTGTAACAACCAGTAGCTTTGTCTTCCTCACAGTCTTCCGGATTTCCCTAACTCTACTGGGTGCTTTTCTTTCTAAATACCATAATTCTATAATAATTCTCAAAAACTATATTGTCTTTGTTGCTGTTATTTGGAATGAAGTGCTTTTATGAAAACAAAACCAAACAAAAAACAACACCCAGATTTCAAACAACCTGATCTATATGCCCTGAAGACAGAGATTCAGGATACCAAATTCTCTAATCCTCGCATTTACTGAAATATACTTTGTGTTTTTCCAGATTATGGGATTTGAGGACATTTACCGACAGCATCTTCCTCTACACGTGGCTCAGTCCCTTTGCTGAGCTATGGCTTATTCTACTACACTCCAAATGATGATTCATGGCTTCTTGGCCTGTGCACAAAAGGAAAAAGTTTAGATACATTGCTAATTGTTATTTCAGTGCCAGTGAAAAATAATCTCAGGTAATTAAAAAAGTGTTGTCTTTCTTTGGTTGTGGAAGCTAGAACTTTATTAATATTATTATATAAGTAAATTGTCTATTATTCTTATCTACTTAGTTTCCTCGGGAGCTGAATCTCCCTCGTTGCTATAGTTCCTGAAATTGACACTATGTGGACCGCTTACTTAGAATTTGTCCCTATGTAATTTCAGAAGCAATGGCAAAGACACCCATTTTTATTGGGGATTTTAAACTGTCCATCACCTTGGCAAAAATTTAAGAGCAATTACATAATCCTGCTTCTCCCACCTGCCCACTTCAAGCAGCTGGTATATACTGTTCTAAAGGGAGAGAGGAAGTGGGGCACCCGGGTGGCTCAGTAGGTTGAGCATCCGACTTCAGCTCAGGTCATGATCTCACGGTTCATGAGTTTGAGCCCCGTGTTGGGCTCTGTGCTGACAGCTCAGAGCCTGAAGCCTGCTTCAGATTCTGTCTCTCTCTCTCTCTCTCTGCCCCTCCCCTGCTCATGCTCTGTGTGTGTCTCTCTCTCAAACAAGGAATACACAATAATAAATAAATAAATAAATAAATAAATGGAGAGAGGAAGAAAGCTCTTCACCATGGGAGAGGGGTGGAGGTGGAAACATAATTTACACAGTAAGAGAACTGTGTTCTAAAGTCACTTGAGCTGCTTGGGCCTCAGTTGCCTATAAAACAAGTAAGAATGAATGGGATCTTCATGGAGAAGGAAGGGCAAAACAAGTAATTTCTCAAGTTCATTGAGGTACAAATTCTACTTTTACAATATAATTATTAATAACCGAGTCCAGATGATGTAAAGACAGATTTGTGCAAATAGGCACAGATAAATGAATAGCAAATATTCACATGAGGCTTGAATGCAGTTATTAATATCTATGCTCATTAGAGTTAACAACCAATACTAAGATGATTTGCAGGATTAGTCATTAATAACAGTGGCAAAAAAAAAAAAAAAAAAAAAAAAAAAAGCATCCCCACTACTGATAGAGGCTGGGGCTGTTAGGATGCTAAATGCCTGGGAATTGGACTGACTGCCTCAAGGCAAGTTCATAGATCTTAGTTGGTACTATTGTATTTGTTGAAAAAGAAAAAGTAGAAAAGAAGGAGGGGAAAGAGGGTAGGAGGAAGAGAGGATATTTAGTTTGAATTGCCATATCTAAAAAACAAATGCTCTTTTTCAAAGATAGAGAATCTATTTTTCACCCCAGCTACGCGTGTATCTGTTGTAACTTAGTAACATTTTTCTCTGAAAACAGAAAGAACCCTTGGGTGTAATCTTCTTTGTAATTTTCTTATATGAGATGCCACTATGGTAATAGACCCCTTAACAAGTAAGTACAGGGGTGTCAGGTGTGAGGGGGTCAAGGTTTTCCATGCCAGGAATTCATGGCATCTGCTAAAACTCTGGAAGTATCATGTCTGGCTGCCGTGCCAGATTCTGGTGGTGATTCAGGGATTGCTTTTCCTGGCCCTCTCATCTATTTCTGAAAAGACAATAAGAGAAACAGGGCAGGAAATGGCTCTGATAGCAAAGCTGGGTTTGGTGCATTTCCTGGCTTTGGTGGCCAATATCATTGGACTCCTGTGGTATCAAGCTTTATGAAAGAAACTAACAATAGGAAGCAGGGCCATCTCAATCACTTTTAGACTGACATTTCCAAAAGTGTTAAGAAGCTATTTCCTCTGTTACATGTGATCAGATGTTTCCTGAAAACATCTGTGCTGTGGTCCTCAATTTTCTTTAACAATCAGTTTTACTTGCCAATTAATACTTTTAAAAAGTAAATAAGAGGTATTAATACTTTTATATAGAATTATGTGTTCCAAATAATGTCTATCATGTAAGAAAAGGGCAGTGTCCGTTCAGCACCAGGTCCCCTCCAGTTAGAGAAACAAACAATTCTTTTAAACATCTTTATGATTTAAGGTTTCAATAACAACTCACAAGTAGGCAAAAGTTTGCTATTTATTTAATCTTGGAAGAACACAGAAAGAAAAAGGCAGGGAATGTAGGCAGTGTGGAAGAACTCCTTTGCATAGCTGGCCACTTGTGGCTTTAACAGCTGCAGGGGAAACTGGCTGGGGCTATGGTTACGTGTTTCTGTTCAGTAAGGATAGCCATGGTGGTAACTCTCATGATGACGGTGGTCATCCTGGTAACCATCCTGGTATCCTTGGTGGTAGCTATGGTAACCGTAGCCTGCGTACTCATCTTCTGGGCAGCGCATCCCCAGTGACTGCTGAATGGCCATTTCCTGTCTCCGGAGTTGCATCGAATCAATTAAATCATACACAATCACCATGGACCACATTGGGGAAGGATACCAGGATTTGACATTTCCATCTTTTCCAACTAGAAGCATGGAGAAGTACTCTGGGCTCACTTGAAAATAGTTACGGATGTCTTTCACCAAATGGGCTGATATGTCTTCTCGCTCCACAACAGAACTCCCTAGAAGAGGGTTAAAAAAGTTGTTAGTGGATTGAAGAGTCACCACTCAAGCAAACATCTAAATGAGAAGAAATCACTATGAGAATAGACAGAGGACACATGAGTCTATTCCCTTTGGTTCAAAATCCAATTAAAGAAGGTTGCCGGGGTTTTCCACGAGAAATTAAATGTCCCTAATGTTCTGCAACATTATTAGCATCAAACTTTAGGACACATGATGTCTCTTTTATAGGAATGTTACAAAATATAAAACCAGTCCTCTAATTTAATTCTGGCAGGATCAACTTCTTTCAAGTTTGTCATGAACAAAGATTATATTGTTTGTATTACTAAGTTTATTACCAATTAGCTTAGCTTCTTTGCAACCATACTTCTTTGCAAGTATGGATTTCCTTTTGATACTGTGGTTTTTATAACAAAAAGCTTATTTTCTTGTCAGAGGGGGAAAATACCAATTATATAAGATGTGAATAAATGTATTTAAACTATTATGGTCAGTGAAAAGAAGAGGGGAAATGGGGAGGGTGCTGAGGCTTTCTGGGCCAAGGACTTTATGCGCATTATCTCATGTGAATAGCTTGATCTTGGAAAGAAGAACTGATTTGCTTTCTGAAAACTTTAATCGCTAGTCATTTTTTTTACAGCATTTCTGAGCCTTTCAAGCATTTGTCCTCATGTGCTGAGAGGGAATCAGTAAGATATGACCCATGTGCCTCATAAAATTATTGTGGGAATTAAATGAGATTACATAGATAAAAATGCTTTGTAAATCATAAAGTCCTATACAGACAGAAAGCATTATTCTAGTCAAGAAAATGGATATTTTTACTGTCATTTTTGAATTATTTTATATTAAGAACAATATTAGTGAGTGCACTCTACTTGCTGTGTGCACACGTGCACACACAGGTGCATACACACACGAGGTAGGTGGATTTGTGAACTGTGTTCACCTTAGAGGCACACCCACTGCTTGCATATAGTTTAATATAATTTAATAGAACTTAAAATTTTTTATTTTTTTTAAAGTTTTTTTTTTTAATGGTTTTATTTATTTCTGAGACAGAGACAGAGCATGAGCAGGGGAGGGGCAGAAAGAGAGGGGGAGACACAGAATCTGAAGCGGGCTCCAGGCTCTGAGCTGTCAGCACAGAGCTTGACGCGGGGCTCAAGCTCACGGATTGTGAGATCATGACCTGAGCTGAAGTCGGACCCCTAACCAACTGAGCCACCCAGGTGCCCCTAAAATTTGTTAAATATTTGTTTATTTACTGGAGAGAGAGAGAGAAAGAGAGAGAGAGAGAGAGACAGAAAGAGAGAGAGAGAGAACACAAGCAGAGGAGGGGCAGAGAGAGAGGGAGACACAGAATCTGAAGCAGGCTCCAGGCTCTGAGCTGTCAGCACAGAGCCTAATGCAGGGCTCGAACTCATGGACTGCGAGATCAGGACCTGAACTGAAGTCGGACGCTGAACTGACTGAGCCACCCAGGCATCCCTAACAGAACTTAAAAGGAGTTCATACTGTTTTAAAATAACAGCACTTTACCGTTAATTGGGAACAGTTCTAAAACTCCCCCAATTTCCTCTCCAACCCCTAAAAGTTTCAGAATGGTTATGTGACGCAGACCTGAAAGAAAAAAGAAAGCCATAGAATTGGTAAATCATCTTTTACTTCCAAAGGCCAACATCTGACAATTAGAAATTTCTACCTTAAAAACAATATAGAACATAACCTGATTAGGTAAAACAATTCATCTTTCCCCATAAAAAAGTAATCAGATACTTTGAAAACCTTGAAAAAGACCAATTGCAGATTTAGGATTATCAACAGGGTCAGGTGTGGGTTGGTTTGCTTTGGTTTGTAGATTGAAACAAAAGAATCTGCTCTTAAACTGTGCTTCTATTAAATAACAAAACAAAAATGAAGCCATCAGAACATTAAAACGTCTGGGATAATCTGAGCCGATTAGCATTCTGGAAAAAGAGTCATTCCTGAAGTTTCAATACTCACACGGATAATTCAACTGTCTTAGAGAAAAGACTGCAGAACCCATGTATTGGGAGTGTCAGAGGAAGAGTTCTGGCTTCCTCGCACAGAAGTTTGTCAGCTTAAAGGGCAGTTTCTTATCACTTATTTAGAGGATTCAAAGAAGCGCTTAAGCGAGCACAGCTTGGCTTCCCACCCTCAGCTAAAGTTTCAGGAAAGGAGAGAAGGTCATGCCTTGGTAGCTTGTTGGAATTCTTTTGAAGATGAAGTACATGTGAAGGGGTTCAGGAGAGAAAACCTAGGAGGACAAGGGGGCTGTCAGTTCATCATATCAAGATTTCATGGTGTTAGACAAAATGCCAACCTTGTCAGGGTCATAACTGGGGACTATGAATATGAATTTTGATGGTGCTTATTGTTCAGGGGAGAAAACTGAAAGCTGTCGGGGTAGGGCTGTTTTAAGGAGGAGCTAAAATTCAAGCAAAAGGCTATTCCTAAAAAAAAAAAAAAGAAAGAAAAAAAAAAGAAAGAAAAAAAAAAAGAAAGAAAAAAAAAGAAAGAAAAAAAAAAAAAAAAAAAAAAAAAAAAAAGAGTTTGTGGTCTTTGCTCTTCTCCCAGAGAAGTGAAGCATTCTGTTCTGCATGTTGTTGAGTCATGTTTTCTAAAGGGAAGATCACGAATTTCATTATTCCCGGAAAATATGACTTGTTTACATTTCCTGTATATTACAAAAGGGTTTCCTTACACTAATGTGATTTAGGTTCTGTGTGCATAGATTAAAAATGAAACACCACCTAATAACTGCTCCAAAGATGTCTTTAGAAAATTAATAATCCACGATTTTATTTATATTCTTATTGTGAAGAGTCATTAACTGCTCTAAGAACTTCTGTCTTACCTAGCAACATTGGTGGTTCTAAATAATTTAAAATATGCTTAACAATACAAAAAAAATCTTATATATTGTTATAAAATTTTAAATTATTTGATAATAGGAGTATACATAAAAATTCACCACTTTTCTAGTTGTTCTTACTATTATGAACTTGTTTTCTGCTTGCTTGTGTGTGTTATTATTTCACATCTTAAAATTGAAATGTATTTATAATTTCTAGGTACTGTGTCATAGCAGGGACCCAGGCTCTGTTAATGCTTTACAAAACCTACACCCCCATCTTTTTATAAATCAGGCACAGTTTTGTAACTAATAAATGATTCTTCTTCCTAACAGAAGTATCAAAATAATGCCGATTCACCTGTGTTCCAATTAGGAATTTTTAAAATCTGTGGCTCCTAGGTACTTTTCCACCCCTCTAACAACTGTTCAAATTCTTCCTCTGCAGAAGTGTATTTTAAATGAGACTTCAGTTGTGAGTTCCACTTTCGAAATTGCCCTTAGCTCCTTGGTTCACCATTGAACTTAGTAATAAGGTCTATGCATAATAACCATTCATTTTCCTTTCTGTATGTCCATATTCAAAATGATACTTTAGGTCACCAAGATAGTCATTTTGGTAAAGAAAGCAAATGTTACTTTTCGAAACACTAAGCAGTTCACTACAAAAAATAAACAAATAAATAAATAATAAACTATGTTTCTCTTTGACCTACTTGTCTTAAAAATAAGATTCTGTTTAAGAGATCTTGCTGTCTTTGATGCCCAATTATAGATCAAAATCCTTTCTGAGGGAATGGCAATATAGTACAGTTTACTTCCATTAATATATTAATTCTCAAAGCCATTCGTGTTTTCACAAAAGGCATTTCATCTATGGAGAAGTACCCCCCCCCCATGTTTTTACCTAAGTATTATCTAAGTAAATGATGATACCTGAGGTTTATAATGTTGAGACAAGTTTTAACAAATCAAACAAGAAGGCACATAACACAGATCACTGAAAGTAAAACAGTAGTTATTTTCAAACACTTCAGTGAAGAATCCAAGGGGGGAAAATATTGAGAAAAAAAAAGAAAGAAAGCAAAAAAAAAAAAAAAAACTCCAGTGGACTAAAGCTTGAGTCTGAAAGCAACTTTATACTCAACACAATTGAGTAAGTGTCTGGGAATCTCCAGTCTGGACTGAGGAATATTTGGATGATCTAAGCTTCTATGTTCCATTTTAGAATTGACCAGGAAGAGAGTGGTATGGGAAAACGGTGATGACGAAGCTTCCCACTCACCAAAATTGCAGGCCTGGCCACTGAGGGCCGAGAGCTGCTGTGAATAGGCCCAGTCTTCATCATTAGGGGCAGAGATCACCAGCAACCGCCTCCTCCATCGGAACCTGGAACAGACAGGAGGCCGTGATTACTGCTTCAAACAATAGAGGCTAGTGTAAGAAAGCAGACTCGCTTCGGCTGTCGGGTTTTCCTGTGCCCAGAATATAAAACACAGGCCCTTAGAAGTATCTCCTAGCTCATCAAAGTCATTAAACTGCATTTCCACATTTCTTGCTCTCTTTCCGTTGTAACTTCACGGTCTGCTGACTGTGGCATTTGCACGAAACATCAGGCGTGAGTCTGGCCACCGTGCCCAAAGAAGTCACTTCCGGAGACTCGGAGTTTTAGACGCAGTGAGGACTGGCCCAAATCGTTATGTTATGTTGTAGCCACAGAAATAGGGAATCCAAAGAAAACTGAAGAAAACTCACAATCTAATAGAGTTTGCTCAGGCTTGGAGGGGGTTAAGAATCAAACGTATGGATTGGAAACAGAGTAGAAAAAAGAGAACTAAGTTTTAAGGCGGTGACAGTGACAGTGACAGGAAGAAGGAAAGTGGCAAAGCGGTTCCAAGGGCCAAGGAGAATTCCTGGGAAAACAAAGCCCTGTGTGCCCTTCTCAGTAGCCAGTTGTTCTTCCAGAGGCAAATGCAAGTCCTAAAACACAGCCTACTCTCATTAGTAAGACCCAACATTATAGAGTCCTCTGTGAAGTGGGATGGGGCTACATCTCCAGCCTAGGACCGTAGCATATATAACAAACTTGCTGCTCCAACACAGTAGGGTAGTAGAAAGAGCTTTTGTCTTGTAACCTAGAAACCCAAGTTCATGTTTTGTCACTGCTACTTTTTGGGTTCCTTGAGCACATCGCTGAGTTCATCTGAGTCTCAGTTTTTCCTTATCTCTAGAATGAAAAATAGCGTCAGCTTCAAAGAGGTATTATAAGACTTAAGCTAAAATCTGTCAGTGTAAGTTATTCATGTGATGACATGGGCCTAGATGGTGGCTTAATCTGTGGGCTTCTTAGATGTAGACGTTTGTCCGTTGATAGACCTTGGACGTTTGTCTCTCATGCCATATGATAACTTAGTCAATCCTCATGTTTGTGTATCATTTCACAGCTCACGTTCTTCTATACTGACAACATTAGAGGTCAGTGAAGGCACAGCTTATTGTCTTCATTGTACAGATGACAAAATGGGGCTTAGAGAAGTGACCTGCCTAACTAGTACATCTAAGAGGTGGTGCCAAAATAAGATTTCTCTGACTCCCAGGCCAATGGTTTCCCTAGTTTATCCCCCTAAGGGATCCTGAGGCTTGGCTCATACAGTCAGGGTCCCAAAGGAGATACGAAGGAGAGAGGGAATGCATCCCAGGGGCAACTGTATGGAGTTATCTCAAACTCCACCTTCACTGGAGGAGGGGTTTTGCTTTCCGCCTACTGTGCAGACCCCTGTGGGGTGTTAGTACACTCACTGAGCAGGAAGCCACTCGATTTTATTCGTGACTTCTCTCCCTACGCTCATTCTAGCCTCACAGTGAACATGAGAGTTTTCAACCCCGAAGAAAATGGCCTCTTGGGGGAAGAGTGGTTTGGGTGAATGAGAGAAAATGATAGTCTGATGAAATACAACCTCTGAATGGACGCCTGTAGGAAGGCTCGCCAAGAACTGCTTACTGTGACATTACATTTGCTTCCTCTGCTTGTTTCTCTTCAAAGGGAAAGAAAAACTAAAATCTCCACTGAGGATAGGGAGATGAGTGTATCTGGCACGGAGGAGGGGAGAGGAGTGTCTGAGATTGTCCGAGGTCTCCCGGGAAAGGGAACAGTGATCACAAACGTGGTCTCCTGTACTCTCCCGGCTTCCTTAGGAGGCATGCCAGCCCAGCTCTGGCCCCCCAGCCAGCATCCAAACCAGGCCAGCCTTCCTGGCCTCACACAGAGCTGTAGGGTATCCTGGAAGGAGCTATTTTGGGTGAGGTATATTTTGGCTTGTTTACCTGTGTGCACCACTGAATGCTGTCCTGATTGGATGGGGACAGGATCTGAGACTCCCTGTCGCAGACAGAACCAGGCAAAGGTCATTCCCCCTAAGTAATGATTCTTTCTCCCACGGATCTTCACATTGAGACACAAAGACTCCAGCTCACAACACTGAAGGAAATAACTTCCAAAGGATGTAACAAGAGATGTCAGTGTGGCCCAGATCCCTATTTCGGGCAAATAGTTTTTCTGTCACTTTAACTTATCAGTAAATAAAAATTCTATGAGCTGTGTGTGTGTTTACTCCCCTTAACTGGCATTCCCAGATTAGTGTGCATTTGCCAGTCTTTGGGGCTTCTGTCTCAGAGGAACGTAATTATAGCCTGAACCAGATGAGTGTCACTAAAGACCAGACTGGCTTTAGAGTCTGGTCAGCTGAAACCAGGCTGTATAGACTCACCAACAACTCAGCAAATTTGAAGGAAAATTCCCATTTGGATACTCATTTATTTATAGAACTGCTATTTAAATTTTTTTTTTTTTCCTTCAGTTCTCTTTGCCTGGGTTTCAATCCTGAGGTGTTTACTAAATTTCCTCCTACCTCTTCCTTCATGACAAAATTCTCTAACTAGCAGCTGATTAACTGGTCCCAATACTAATGGCCAGCATTTATTGATTACTTACTTTGTACTAGGTCATGGGCCATTGTTGTGAATTTGCTTTTCACAACTCTTAAGAATAAATACGTTTCTTATCTGCCTTTCGCAAACGAGAAAACTAAAGCCTGGAGAAGTTAAGTAATCAGCCCAAGGTCACACAGTCAATAAATGAAGAAACCAGGAATCAAACTCAGGGCTGTCTGACTCAAACCTTTAGGTTATACACAACTCCACATTAATTTTTAAGATCAATGATAATCATCAGCACAGTGATTTCATGAGTTGTGACCACAAATCATGCATAGCTACAGGACATCTAAATTATAATCATATCCATCCTGAGTATCCACAACAGATGCATGTTCCTAAAATAGTATGGAATATGAAAGCCCGTAAGGTTCTGACATTAGAAAGGAGATACATTTACACATCACAGTGCCCTAACCAGTACAAAAGACTTTAGAGGCAAAATGTGGGTACAAGTCTTAAAAATCAAAGATATGCCAAATTCAAGTCAGTTATCAACTGGAGTGAGCACTGCAAGCTTCGGGTGTGAGCAAAACTGAGCTAATGTCAAGCTTTCCCTGTCATGTTTTGAAACCCATGACATGGTGATTATAAAAAAGGCAGCCTGCCTGGGGATGGTAAGAAAAATCAGGATGTCTGTAGCTGCAGCTCTCAGAGCTGGCCCAAATCCTTGGTTATAAATAACATCAATGGACTGGGTGGTAACTGCCTGCTGTAGAGGTTGGGCAACCTGAGTTTATGAGGTTGGTTCAGCAGGTATGCATCTTATAGTCCTGGAAGATTTAGAATTAAGAAGAGCAAGTTTTCAAAGAATCAATCATAGTGATAATTTATACTTCTAAGAACGATCCTGGTCTTCTTTATATACACAATATATGTACTTGTGAAACTTAAGAGAATTTGGCTCAATAAAATGACAACCTTGAAACTTTAAATTAGAATTTATAATTGAGTAATTGGTTTAGATGTGTGGTTTTAAGTGATTGGAACACCTGAGAAACTCTAGATTCACTGTATTTACAAGATTAACTAATTAAACTTATGGATCATTAAAGTACTCAGAAAGATTTTGTTTGTTTATTTCAACAACTCAAAAATATATATTAAATATAAAATGACCGTTTGAAATAATAAAATTGTTTAATTATTGAGTTTGTAAGCCAGATCAAACATTATTCAAAGCCCTGTAAAAGTGATGGCTAAAATTTGCTAGATTGTAAATAGAATAATAAGATTAAAAAGCCTAACTCAAAAGTTTAAGAGAGAGCTAAGGAAGAAAGCAAGGGAAGGAAGGGGTAGGGGAGAACGGGGGAAGGAAGGTAAAGGAAGAAAAACACCTCAAGGGCAACAATAAGCTTTGACCATCCATCTTCTAAGTCACTGCCATAGAGAGGGATGACCTTGGATCAGAAGTTGATGTTTCAGTGCCCCCAAGACTAGACAAGGAGCCACGTGTCAGGTGGAGAGTTAGAGCCCTTTCTCAGCTAAGAGAGCGGACTGAAGACTGGGTTGAGCCTCAAGTCCTCATAAAGTGAGGCACCTTCCATCTCCATTCCAGATGCTTGCATTGCACTGAAAATTGGGATGAAGGAAGAACCTCAGGTTACTTTCAGCTCTGAAATCCTGTGGTTTTAGGGATATCTCTTTTCACTTCAGACTCTGGGCTCCTGGGTCCAAGACTAAAAATAATTCACGTTATATTTTCAAAAGGAGTATTTGAAAAGAATACGGGCCTTTGGTGGCGCCGTGAGTCCCAGAGCTGACACTAGCTGGGTGATGACCGAAAGTTAGTTACTTGATCTCTGTCAGCCACAGTTGTCCCCTCTACAACTCAACAATAGTTACAGTATTCAGCTCATAGGATTGTTGTAAAGATTAAACTTGGGAGGGTGAAGTGCTTGGCACAGAGGTGAGCATACAAAAGGTGATCCCAGAAACCCTGGGATGGAGTCAGGGCCATAGAGGCAACATAGCTGGTAAACTGCAGACCCCAAACTTGGATGAACAGTAAGTCCTGTGCTCTTTACACATCATGAGGTTGTGTTTTAAGAGACCCAAGCCTCCTGAATCTAGAGGAGTTCAGATTATCTACCTACTTACTAAACAGAGAATCCTTGATTCTCTGACTCACACCTAGAGAACATGCTTTATAGACACAAGTAAGGAAGTTCACAGCCTCCAAGTTAATGAGCCTCCAAGTAAATGCTTGCTCCATTTCTGGAGCCTCTTGGCCACACAGTACAGCTGGGCGGGGGGGAGGGGGGGAGGTGTTGGGGAGGGGAGATGTTACACGGAGATCTCTGTGCATTTATTTGCTGTAGGTGGAACTTCTGTAGTTGTGCATCTCCTAGGGCCCCAAAGGCCCTGTAGAATTTCCATCCAGCATGGAGGAAGGGATGGAGAAGGGAGGAAGTGGAGCAATTTTTTTTAACAGTCTTCTCTGTGTATTTACTGAAGTTTCCCTACAATGGTTTTCAATAAACCCTCCTCCCCAGGGAATCAGGGAGCTGGGTAAAGAGCATTTCTCCTTCTGAGGTCCTAGAGGGGCTTTTATTGTTTTCTGCAGAGCTGGAAGGAAGCAGAGAATCAAGCAGAGTGTTCCAAATCCTGTTTGAAACCAGAAGGGCCTAATAAATAAATATGTAAAATAAAAATGCAGTATATAAAGCCCTCCAAATTCACTGATGGAATAAGTTAACCCTCACAGGTCAGAATTATTTATTCTGTGCCAAGAAAGAAGCAGAAAAGAGAGAAAAGGCCTATCCAAAGCCACCAAATCAACATTCAAGCTTGGAGCTGACCCCAGTCAACCTTGTGACCGGAGCCCTTTTGACAGGAAAAGACTAAGTCCAGTGGCCAGAGGACCATGAGGCAGACGGACCTTTTAGCTGGGCAGGTCTGCACACACACCTACTTTGTGTTTCTTTAGCCTTTTCATTAACTCACTCAGAACACATCCCCACCTGCCTCCTCAGGGACTCCAAAGGTGAGGTACCTGGACAGGAAGTTCTCCAATGACTGCTTCTTGTCTTCCTTGCAAACAATGCCCTCCTTCTTCTGCTTTTCCATATCTTTGATTCGGGACTGGAATGTATCGATCAAATCGAACACAGACTTCATTGCTATGGGTACCTCGTAGTATTGCTGTTTAAGAAAGAATAGAAAGCATATAATGTTTAAGGGTGTTTCTTCCCTCTGCTCAGAGGATAGAGGGCCTGGGAAAATTCAGGGGAGCGCTGGAGAAATCAGAGTCTCGAGGGTTCATTGATTTATACATCCTCCTCTGCAAAAATACCTCTGCTGATGTTTTGGGGTTCAGAATCCATGAAGCAACTGCCCCTTATGTTTAATGAGAATTTCTTAACTGTGTGCCTTTTATGGGAAAGGGTCCATGACTTCCTTATCACACATATCCTAGGCTCACTTCCCTACCTCTGGACTACGCTGGTTCCTGTTCGCTACACAAGTGAGGAGAAGGTGAGAAGTGCTGTAATTGACACGGAAACGGAATAACCTGTTGGAATATCTGACTTGAATAATCACGGTAATTTTCCACCAGAAGGAGCACCGTTCTCTGGCCATCAGGAATCTAGATAAACTCTGTGATTCCCAGAGGCTGTTTTATTGAGCAAGCATACCTTAAAATTAGACCATGTTTCTAGGGGTATCCTTAGAAAAAAAGTTGGAATCCACCTTAAAGATAATGCAATTCAGTTTCCTGGATCAGAGCTTCCTGCACTTATAACAGCAACCTAAGATGGATTTGATGGCTGGCTGAGCATTGTCAGCATAAACTACAGGGAAGTCTGGACATGGCTTGGAGATATGCCCCCAGTGGGAATTCAGTAAGCTAGAATGTAAAAGCTGGCAGAGACCTTTGGGCCCATCCAGTTCAGCCCCTCACGTTATAGGTGGGGCAACGCAAGTGAGGAATGCATTAAAGAAGGGAACTCTCTCCAGATCCGGAAGAAGACTACAGGTTGAATGACCTATTCTGATGGCCCAGGTAACCTTTCTCCTGATGATCTTCATGTAAGCATGGTATGCTATTGGTGCACTAGAATAGTAAAGACAGTGCAATCTGGAGTCAGCCTGTGTGGGTACCAAGCCCAATGCTAAGTGGGTAAACTTGGGCATGTTACTTAACCACGCTGGGCCTATCTTTGTTCTTCTGTGACATGAAGATAATACTCATTATTTATCTCAGAGATTTGAGATAGGGATTGTAAAGGGTTGAGGTAAGTGCCTGGTGTAAGGAAGATACTTAATAAAGTTAGCTATTTTTGTTAGTATTAGTATTAGTATTAGTATTATTAGTATTACTACATGGCACAATTTTTCATGGTTCAGAACTTCTGTCCCTAAGCATAAGAAGAAAGTAGGTATAAAACCCTACTGTCTTGTCCATGTGGGATTGAGAGGTAAAACTTCCAGGCCCTTCCAGAGTGGGTCCATGTTAAATCTGACCTTCCTGAAGGAAGAAGCCAACTACTTTTCACCTTTTATCCCCAGGGCCTGGGACATCATAGCTACTCAACCAGTGTCTGATGAATGCATGACATTGATGTTACAGAAGAGTTTAGTCTGAGTCAAACAGCTGGGCCATACGAGGTCATCCAACCCAGTTCTTTCCATAGACTACATTTGTAGGCACAAATTCTGTAAGATAACGTGGAATATCTGGACCTTTTCAAAACCTTCCCACTTAATAAAATAATTTGTGCTTATTCATACGTCTAATAGATTCATTGACAAAAAATTCAAAGTTGCTATTCTAAGGAATGGAACTGTACTGTCTAAAACAGAAACCTGTACCTTGACTCTCAGGTCCACGTCTGTGAGCACCATGAAGAAGTCATTATAGGTCATTCCATACTCTTTCCTCAGCTCACCAATGAGATGCTGGTCTACCAGGTCCTCATCATCCACCACTCGCATGGGTTTTTCATTATCTTCAAGGAAATGAAATGTGAATGAATATGGGTGTGACAAGACCGAAATAAGTGGGAAGCTCTGAGTCTCCATCCTGAGTTAATTAGAACAGCTTTCATTAGTTGCACACATTCAGCTAACATTTTGTTTGAACACAAGTTCCCCAAGTGAATAAGTAAATGTAGAAATAAATGAATAAACTCATTTTGAAAGTCAATTCTCTACAGATAATCAAGCCCCATCTGTGCCTACCCTGATGGTAGGTAGTGAATCAGAAGGAGCAAAGTGAGAGTGAAGGCTGCTGACTCACCCCTGGAAGAAGATTGCCAACTCTATCCTGGGAATGAGTCATCACCCCATCTCACCAAGGAGCTTTTAAATTTATTTTAGTTTTTGTTTCTGTTTTTAAAAAAAAATTTTTTTTTTTAGTTTTCATTATTTATTGAGTCTAAAATCTCTGTCTTTTCCTCACTTTTATTACAGAATCACTTTGAGACTCAGTGAACCATGTCATTGCTATAGAGAGAAACAAGCCTATGTTCAGACCTGCCCAACAGGTTCATTTTAACTCCAAAAATGTAGAGTTCTCCATAATACATTTTTTTAAGTTCATTTATTTATTTTGAGAGAGAGAGAGAGAGAGACACTATGAGCAGGGGAGGGGCAGAGAGAGGGAATCCGAAGCAGGCTCCGCGCTGTCAGTGCCAAGCCCGATGATGGGCTTGATCTCACAAACCATGAGATCGTGACCTGAACTGAAATCAGGAGTCGGACACCTTAACCCACTGAGCCACCCAGCTGCCCTCATTATACAAATTTTGTAAGTGAATACAATTTCAAGCAAAGTGTTACCAAATGTACAGAAGGTTTTAACCATTATATATTTTTTTAAAACATCAAGCCCTAAAAATAAATTATTATACTTCGAAATGGTTCTTGAACATGTCACTAGGTGGATGGGAAGTTCGAATATGGCAACTCTTAAGTCTGGAAATCAGTTTAACATCTCTGAGATGAAAATGCTACATTCCTCCCAGGTCACAGTGTTTCCCTCAACCCTACAAAAAATTTTATCTGCCAAATGACTCCCTGTATTTAAAAAAAATGTGAAAAAAATAAAGTCAGCAAAGATGTGATCATAGATATATCTATGATCTCACTAAGACTCTATCACTTACTGTCCACATTGCTACCCACTGAATAGTACTACAGTAGAAACAGCCATGGTTTTACAGATACAGAGGTTATAGGGCTTGAGTACCACAGACCATTGCTCTTTTACTCATAAAAAGGGGATGATTACAATTTAACTATTACTTTGGTTTATTTGATTAGGATCACTGAAAGTACACAAACAAGGAACTTGATTTCCTGTAAAGCAGATCAAAATGCAAAGACAAAGAATCTGTTTTATTCCCCCAAATTGTGACAGTTCTTCACAGAGGCAGTTCAAAGGCATGGGAGCCCATAGCTTATATGAGGACCAAGCGCTCTGCAAAGTGAAAAATTATATGCTTCGTACATATAAACTACTTTTTAAAAAATTTTTAAATGTTTATTTATTATTGAAAGACAGAGAGACACAGAGCATGAACAGGGGAGGGGCCGAGAGATGGAGAGACACAGAATCTGAAGCAGGCTCCAGGCTCCGAGCTGTCAGCACAGAGCCCGATGCGGGGCTCGAACTCACAAACCGCGAGATCGTGACCTGAGCCAAAGTCGGATGCTTAACCCACTGACCCACCCAGGCGCCCCCATATAAACTATTTGTTATGTTTACTTATTTATTTTGAGAGAGAGAGAGACAGAGACAGCAGGGGAGGGGCAGACAGAGAGAGGGAGAGAGAGAATCCTAAGCGTGGGGGTGAATGCCACAAACCATGAGATCATGACCTGAGCCGAAATCCAGAGGCAGAAGCTTAACTGACCGAGGCACCCAGGCGTCCCTAAACTGTTTTTTAAAAATTTTTTTTTTCAACGTTTATTTTATTTATTTTTGGGACAGAGAGAGACAGAGCATGAACGGGGGAGGAGCAGAGAGAAAGGGAGACACAGAATCGGAAACAGGCTCCAGGCTCTGAGCCATCAGCCCAGAGCCTGATGCGGGACTCGAACTCACGGACCGCGAGATCGTGACCTGGCTGAAGTCGGACGCTTAACCGACTGCGCCACCCAGGCGCCCCTAAACTGTTTTTTAAATGTACATTTTTTGCTGTCATGAATTAATTACAAAGTAATTAAAAAAAATTGCCAGATTCATGTTGTTGGTTTTTGTTTACTATGTCTCATTGAGCTAAAAAAGCAAGTTGCTGAAGAGAATGCATAGTAGACAATATTCTTGCCTAAAAGGAAATAAAAGAAAATACATCTGTACAGGAATAGACACTGGAAAATGTCCAGAAGGACATCTAGTTGGTAACAATGGTCGCCTCTAGGGAATGGAAAAGGTGAGTGGACACTTCCACTATTTACTCTACACATGTCTATATTATGTAAAATTTAACAAGGAGCATATTTTACAATTAGTAATAATAATAAAATAAATAGTTAAAAACTGATTTAAAAATGTTTTTAATAACTAATGATTCTGAAACTTTACAAGCAAGATTTTCTCTTGAATCTAAGGATTCCTAGTTTTAATTCTCAGCATACTTTTGTTCATTCCACAAAGTATTTGTTAATACACTGGAGTGTAATAACAAAGTATTTGTTAATACACTGGAGTGTAATAACAAAGTATTTGTTAATACACTGGAGTGTAATAACAAAGTATTTGTTAATACACTGTTAATACAAATAACAAAGTATTTGTTACACACTGTTAATACACTGGGAATGCAGCCAGTGTCCTGAGCTAAGTCTATGCTGGGTGCTGGATTCAGAAATGAGTAATTTGGATAGAGTTCAAATTCCTAATTAGAATCAAAATGAGACCATTATCTCTACCTCACAGAGAAAGTTACAAAAAGCACTAAATGGCTGAGATGGAAGGAAGTTGGAGAATGTAGTAGATTTCAAAAAATGGCTCCAGTTCTTCACCTTTCCCCATACCTACACTCTTTGTCCAGTGACTGTGGCTCCTCTTTACAGTGATGAGTTAAACTGTCGTGCCTCCCGATTCTGAGCTCATCTATACCACATGCTCCGGCCAGTGCTAGGTGATGTTAGCAAAAGTGACATAGAGGCTAGAAATGAGCCTATACATTTGGGATTGCTCTTGCCTCCACCATCGCCATGAGAACAACATGCACGCTAGACTTCTGAAGAATAAGCTAAACCAAGTTACCCTGGCCTCAGCCCAGACGGGGCGATTCCAGATCAGCTGACACCAGTTGATCCCTAAAGTGTTCAAGCCCAGCCAAGATCAGCAGGACCACCCAGCCAACCAGCAGCTGACTGGACATGCATAAGCCAGCCTCACCAAGGCTTGCCCAGCCCAGCCCAGCCCAGGTGAGCTGAACCCTACAGGCTTATGACTGAATGTTTAATAATTACACGCCACTGGAGTGTGTGGGTCGTCATGACACAGCCTTATTGTGGCAACAGAGAAGTGATACGGACATTACCCAGCAGAACCCAGTCACGTTACTGAGAAACAATAATATATGGCGCATTAGATGAAACAGGGACTGAAGCAGACACTGTGGTGCACTGTCCAGATCCTGCCTTCAGAAGCAAGGCTGCTGTGAAGGTTAGCCGCTGACTCCCTCTCTGCAAATCACTGACCTTAGAAAGGAGGTGCCTTTCTGCCAAGTCACACTCTTCCTAGGGGACAGCCCACATTCAGCGGCTGATGCAGTAGGGTAGATGTAAAAAACGTCCCCGTTGCCTCCAAGTGAACTACTACTCCGAAGGGTTCATTGCATTACAACTAAAACTCCCTCTCTGTTCTCTCGTATCCCTCCCCTCTCATAAGCATTATTCCGAAGATGACTCCGCCATTAACCGCATGTATGCAAATCTCAGTTTCAGAGCCTGCTTCCCAGAGAACAAACCCATCACAGAGCCCACAAACAAGCAACTGGCTCAAGTTTACCCTACTAGTTAATAACAGAGTGAGGGTTAAGGCTCAGTTAATACGACCTCATTCTTATTGAGTATTCTCTCTACTTGACCAAAACATATCCCACCCAAGGACAGAGAAGACCTAGGACAAAGATTTAAGCCAACCTTCGTTCTAACTGGGATATAGCAAGAAACCGATCTCATGGCCTGTTTTCTCCTTTCAACTAAAAGATCTTCTGAAACATTTTGACCTGACATTAAAAATAAAACATTTTACACTTCCAGACTGCAGAGTATCTACATCCCAAATGAATGTTTGTGCTGAGGTGGAAAATCACAGTGAAAGCACTGATCAACGGTGGCTCCTACAAAGGATGACAGCAGCTCTACCATAAGACAGTGTCCCCCTCTGGCCCAATTCGGAGGAAGGGATGTGTGAGGCCAGCTCCCAGCTCCAGCTGCCTGCCCCTGCCCCAGATCTCCATTACGTTCCACGTTCCGTCTCAGTCAGGGCTGGGTGAACACGAGGCTCTCCACCGTCTGAAAATGCAGCATCAATTTGGCAGCTTCTTGTTACATTTTTGTAACAGTTTTGCCAAAGCTCTCTAGTCCTTTGCAGGGCTTAGAAGCAAACATTCTTGAGGATGCAATCCTATAAACAGTCCGCATGGTCTTGATCCAGCTAAATGGATTCACAGATCCAAACCCATGTGGTGGGATTTGGTTATTCCACACAGCCTGTCCTTGACCTAAGATGACTTAGGAGGGACAGGAGGGAGCTTGAACTCTGTCACACCCTGGTGGGGACTGGTCCTGTAAGTGGGGCATTGGCCTGGGTTTCCATCCTTTAAGGATCTCAATTCCCAAGTTGAGGTGGTAATAGATTTCTTCATGTATTTGTTCTTCCATGTCTGCCCACAGACAGCAATGACGTTGCAGAAAAATTCAGCTCCAGCAACAACTTACTAATCACCAACTGTGTGCCAGGCATTACATTCGAAGTTTCCATCTGTGA